TGGTAGAACTCACTGTTAAATCACCGTTGCCCTGGTGAGGTTTTGTTTTCTTCTCTTTGTTTTCCAGGTAGATTTTATAGTATTGATTCAAATTTTTCAATGGTTATAGGTCTCTTTGGTTTTCTGTTTCTTCCTGAGTCAGTTTTGGTAAGTTGTATTTTTTTCTATGAAAATTGTCCATTTTCTCTCAGTTTTCAATTTTATTGGTATAAAGTTGTTCAGATTGCTCTCTTCTTAGTTTTAAAATTTCTGTTACATGTGTAGTTTTGTCCTTTTTTCATTTCTAATGTTGTTTATTTGTGTTTTTCTTTTCCTTCATAAGTTTTGATACAGAGCATTTTACTATTTTTCAGTTCTAAATATTTCCCAACTTTAGTTAGAACTCTTCTGTGGACCATTAATTATTTAGATGTGTGCCTTTTAATATCTGTAGTATTATATTCTTTATTTGGTTATTTATTTCTAGTTTATTTTACTAGAGAATGGGTCTATTTGATATCAGAGTTTTGGCATTTGTCAAGAATTGCTTTTCAATTTTTTAACAGGCTAGTTTTTGTAAGTGTTACATGTTTGAAAAGAATACATGTTCTAACTTTTGGGTGCAGGTTTCTATATATGTCCATAAGGTTAAAGTTGTTAACTTTGTTGTTCAGATTTTTTGTATTCTTACTAGTTTTATTTCTTTCTGATTTATTATCTGTTATTTAAAAATCCTTATTATGGTGTTGAACTTATTAATTTTTCCTTGTAATCATCAGTGTTTTCACAGCTCTTTTTGTAGCTGTGTTGTTAGGTACATATTATTCAGAATTCCTATTTCAGGATGTTTTCTTTTACAATTATGTTAATGAATTTTTAAAAATCATAATGAGTTTGGCTTTAGAATCTATTTTGACTGGGTTTAATATAGCTACCTTAACTTTCATTTAACATCTACTTGGTGTAGCTTTTCCATCCCTTTACTTTTAATCTTTCTGTGGCTTTATGTTTAGGTGCTTCTCTTTTAAGCAGATCATTGCTGATTTTTTTAAAAAATTTATTCCTGTTGGTTTTATTTGTGATCCAGTGTGACGATGCTGTCTTTTAATAGGTGAATTTAATCCATTTATGAATTTTGTGATTATCAGTGTATTTGTATTTATTTCTAGTTTCTTGTGCTGTTTACTGTAGGTTTTGCTTATTTGTTTGCATGCATGCTTTGTTTTTTTCCTTCTTTCTTGCCTTCTATTGGCTTGGTCAAGTTTAGTTTTATTTCTCTTTTTCTTTACGTCTTTGGAAGTTATATATTTTATTTCATATATTTTAATGTTTATCTTTACATTTTTAGCATTTATAGTTTACCTAGAGTTAATCAGTTTCTCCATCATATTCCTAATCAAAACAAGAAACTTAGTTTATCTTATACCATATGCAAAAATTAACTCAAAATGGATCAAAGACCTAAATATAAGAGCTAAAAATATAAAACTCTTACACGAAAACATAGGGGGAAAGCTTTATGACATTGGATTTGGCAGTGATTTCTTGGATATGACACTAAACAGCAGACAACAAAAGAAAGAACAGATAAATTAGACTACATCACTGTTAAAAATTTCTGTACATCAAAGGACACAATCATTGTAGTGAAAAGGCAACCTATGGGATGGGAGAAAATAGTTGCAAATCATATGTCAGATAAGACATTAATATCCAGAATATATAAAGAGCTTGTACAACCCAATAAGAAACAAACAACCCTATTCAAAATGAGCAAAGGACTTGAATAGACATTTCTCCTAAGAAGATATGCAAATGGCCAGCAAACATATCTCCAGTCAATAGGGAAATGCAAACCAAAACCATAGTGAGATACTACCCCATACCCATTAGGATGGCTACTATCTAAAAAAAAAAACAAAAACAAAACAGAAAATAACAAGTGTTGGTGAAGATGTGGAAAAATTGAAATCCTTGTGCTCTGTCAGTGGGAATGTAAAATGCTGTAGCCACTCTGGAAAACAGTATGACAGTTCTTCAAAAAATTAAAAATAGGATTCCCTTGTGATCCAGCAGTTCCACTTCTGGGTATGTACTCCACAGAACTGAAAGCAGGGACTCAAAGAGATATTTGTACACTCATGTTCATAGCAGCATTGTTCACAATAGCCAAGGAATTTAAAGCAACCCAAATGTCCATCAACAGATGAATAGATAAAGAAAATTTGGTAGATACATACAATGGAATATTATTCAACCTTAAAAGGAAGGGAATTCTGACGCATGCTACAACATGTAATCCTTGATAACATTATGCTAAGTGATATAAGCCGGACACAAAAGGACAAATATTGTATGATTTCACTTATATGAGGTCGTTGGAGTAGTCAAATTCATAGGTAGAAAGTACAGTGGTGGTTGCCAGTACCTGGGAGGAGGGGGGCATAGGGGAGTTCTTGTTTAATGGGTACAGAGTTTCAGTTTTGCAAGATGAAAAGACTTCTAGAGATGCATGGTGGTGATGGTTGCACAACTATGTAAATATACTTAATGCCACTGAACTGTACACTTAGAAATGGTTATGATGATAAATTTTATGTTACGGGTATTTTACCACAATTAAAAATAATAATTAAAAATTAAAAATTATAAAAACAAGAGACTTAGAACACTTTAATCCTAATTGCTCCTTCAGTAATGTGTTATTGTTTTCTAGTATTTTAGTTCTTATTTCTCAACCTTGAAGTAAGTGTTCCCTCCTCCTGCTCCACCTGCTTTCCTCCTGCTCCTCCTCCTCCTGTGGTTTCTACTCTTCCTTGTCCTCTTCCTCCTCCTCTTCATCATTATTTTACCCAGTTAATGGCCATTGAGATGAATGGTCAAGTTTACTAACAGTTTCTTCACAATTGCTTCTAGTGTCACATTCTTCCATCTGGGTTAAATTTCTTGTGATCTGAAGTGTGTCTTTTAGTACTTCTGTTTATCCGAAAGGGTCTATACGTGGTAGTTCACCGAGTCTTGGTGTGAAAATGTCTTTATTTAACCCTCATTCTTGTGTCATAATTTAGGTAGGAAATATAATATTAACAATTATTTTGTCTTATCACTTTGAAGATACAGTTCCATTTTCTTCTGACTGCTAGGTTAGTATTAATAATTCACATGTCAGTCTATTGTCATTCCTTGGTAAGTGATCTTCCTTTATTCTTCAGTGTTTTTAAGATCCCTTTGCCTTTGGTGCTCTGCAGTTTAACTACAGTGTGTATAAAAGTACATCTGGTTTTATCTATCTTTTCATATCTTTTACCTATTCACTGTGTTCTTTATTTCAATGACTAGTTTTTGTGTTTTTTTTTTTTCATTTCTAGGACTTCTATTTGATTTTTTCATCTCTTTTTCTTTTCTTATGGTTTTGATTTTTTAAAATGTCTTTAATAATTTTAAACATACTTATTTCATGAAGTGGAACTGATTGTTGTTAGGGGTCTAATTGTGTTGTTTGTTTGGATTTCTGACTTTTGCTCATAATGGAATGTTTCCTCATTTAGTTTATGTTATTGGATTGTGAGCTCATCTTCAGTGGGCTTTTTTGTGTGAGGATTATCTGTGGCCAAGCTTGAGAATGTGTCCTTCAGAGTAGTTCTGAATTTGTTGTGCTCAGTTTTCTAGGGCACCTAACATGTTCCAGTGTTTTTGCTAGTTTCTTGGCTTGAGAACTTCTGGACCACAGAAACACTGTGAATTAGAATCCCAAGTGGTGGGACTGTGTGACCTAACATTATGAATTTCTAGGGGAGGAATTTTTCTTCACATATCAGCCACAATCAAGACAAACAAAATGTCTTATCTTTCTCTGCTGAGTGGCAGATTTTTATAATTCACTTTTTCACTTAAAATGTACCCTTTAGGGTAAAGGTTATATAGGGCAGCCTCTCACTTCAAACCTCATGTAAGCTTAAGGTCTTTCCTTTTGTCCTCATGTATATGTTAAAATCCAAGTACCTAGAAAATGAAAACTGACAGTTCCCCAACCCCACTCCTGCTCTAATGCTCACCACCCTGGTTCTCAACCATTTCTTGATTGCTGGCCCCTAAGAATTTCTCTTTTTTAAAAGCTCATTTATATGTTTATAAAAATGGTTATATTTTATCTAGTACTTTTAATAGTTTGTAATGGAAGAGTTTTCAAGTTATTTAATTTCAGTATTGCCAGAGAGGAAGTCTATTCTAATGATTATTAGGAATGGTAATTTAGTCCAGAAAATCCAGAATATTAACTATTATTCTACCTTGAGAATGTTCATTTTCTGATATGTTCTTTTAAAACATAGAAAGAACCAATTTTCTTTTACTTTGGAATACCTTACAAGATATGTGCCCAAGATCTTTTTAGCTATTATTTTTTAACTTACATCTAACTTGCCCTAATTATATGCCCAACTATTTTTCTCTATTGGGATTTTATTTTTTGAAGGATGTATTTTTCCCCTTTTATAATTTTTTAAATTAATAAGTAGTTTGCAGGGTATTGTTAACATTTATTTCATTAGGTTTCTACTAATGTGTTTTAAAATAATCTCCAGGCTGCTTATAAGTATTAGCTGGGTTTTTTTTTTTTCCCCGCCTAATTAATAGTAAAATTTTCACAGTTCCATTTTTTTATATGTACATGTTGCACAGATAATATCAATAATAAGAATGTTCTAAACTACATATTCAATTTGTTGTTAATGACTGTGGTGTTCAAATCATATTGTTACCCTAAATGTAGTCAATTAAGTAACAGCTATAATGAAAGTGTTATATATATAGTGTTCTGAAACCTGGAGAACTGTTAGTGTGGAGATTATATGAAATTTAATTTATTTGTACAAGGAGGCTAAATTCCAATAATGCAAAGTTGTAGTTGTTATCAGATAATGTCTGTTGTATATCTAAGTAAATGTAAATATTTTTAACTTAAAATTATAATTTGTTTCTAATATATTATAGTAGATTACTAAAAATGTGAACTTCCTCAGGTCCAGTCCTCCGTGGCTGTTGGAACTCCAGATTATATCTCTCCTGAAATCCTTCAAGCCATGGAAGATGGAAAAGGCAGATATGGACCTGAATGTGACTGGTGGTCTTTGGGGGTCTGTATGTATGAAATGCTTTATGGAGAAACACCATTTTATGCAGAATCTCTGGTGGAGACATATGGAAAAATCATGAATCACAAAGTTAGTATGTTTTACTATTTTTCAAATTAATGTGATAAATAATACATACAATGCATTTAAAGTAATGTGATATTTAAAAAGAAAATATTTTTCTAAAAACAATAAACAATCTAACTTCTGTGCTAATAGGGGACATGACAAACGTGAATAGTCAAAATCTATAATTTATACATAGAATTATTAGTTCTAACCTTTTCCTGTATTTTATTAGAGATACTAGTAAGTAGGAAATTGAATGGTGTCTCCAGTAGGATAACAGACAAAGATCATAAGCAGACAATTTATTATCATTGCTACAACAGTATAATCATGACTAGAATGCATTTTAAAAATTCTCAACCTTAGTAGTAATAAATGAAATGCAAATTAAAATAAGGATGAGATTCTTTTTTTTCCCTTGTCAAATCAGCAAAGGTGAAAAGAAAAATAGTACTTTGTACTGTAAATAATCCAGTGAGATGGACACTGTTAGAAGGAATATAAATTGATGTAACCTTTCTGTCAAGAGGTTGAGAAGTATGCATCTAGAACCTTAAAAAAAAATGGTTAGAACTTTTGATTAAGCAACTTCAGTTCTGGGAATCTACCCTAAGGAAATATTCAGTAGAGCAAAGATGTATGTATGAGGATACCGATTCCAGTATTATTTATGATCACGAAACATTGGAAACATTGGAAACAATCTAGGTGCATAACAGGAACGAATTGATAAAACTTTAATCAATTTAGTACCAAGTGAAATAGAAATAGGTTGTTCATAGTAAGAAGAGGAAGGTGTGATTGATTGGTCTCAGGATTTTGAGCACTTGCAAAGACCTGGAGTATGAATAGGAATATCCCACAAAGGGAGTGACTATCTATTCTTTTTAATTTGTTCCGGAGATACCATTATGGTTAGTTGCTTCGCATATACATAAATCAGTTTAAGATAATCTGCTAAATAGTTATGAACAGTTGAAAGACAGGAAGCAGCTACAAAGTTGTAAATAGCATGTAAAGCATTTCAGAGAGAAGTCATTGTACTAGAACATGGTTGTTAAGAGCACGGATTCTGGAGTCAGACAGCATCAGTTCAAATCCCAAATTGCTTGAAATCTCTGTGCCTTTGTTTCCTCTTCTGTAAATTAGGATAAAGTAGTAATGACCTTAGACGATTGCTATGAGGATTAAATGAGTTAAAGGAGTAAAGCACTTCCAATCGTGTCAAGTACATACTACATTTTTAAAAAGTGTTTATTATTATAATCATTGGTATGTGACTTATGTGAACATCATCAGTCCATCTACACCCTATTGAAATATTGAGTCAAATTCTACCACTTTTAATGAATTATCTTCATTCTAAGGTATTTTAGCATTTAATTTATTCTTCTTTCTGCAGTGCATGTATGACTAAGTCACAAATGAAATTAAAAGTTCTTTTAGGCAAATGATCTTTTCTCATTCGTCCCTGTATCTTTTTTACTATCAGTACTTTGTACCAGTATACACTTAGATATTTTTAAAAGAAAATGTATTTAAAAAAAAATAAATGTTAACCAACTTACTTAGTAAGTTAAATACTGATTTATATTTAATTTCTATTATTCTCTGTTTAGGAGAGGTTTCAGTTTCCAGCTCAAGTGACTGATGTGTCTGAAAATGCAAAGGATCTTATTCGAAGGCTCATTTGTAGCAGAGAACATCGACTTGGTCAAAATGGAATAGAAGACTTTAAGAAACACCCATTTTTCAATGGAATTGACTGGGATAATATTCAAAACTGTGAAGCACCGTATATTCCAGAAGTTAGTAGTCCAACAGATACATCAAATTTTGATGTGGATGATGATTGTTTAAAGAATTCTGTAAGTATGCCATTGTGAAGAAGTTCTGTCCCTCTGTTTCCTTTTAATATGGTTAAAAGCAATTTTATGGACCACCTTATCAATTCTCAGTTAAACAGTTATCATGGTTGTAGTATTTATTCTCTCATAAATCAAGAAATTAAGAGAATTAACTGAGGTGAGCATAGTTATTCGTGACTAGGAGCAAAATTAAAATTCAAAGATTTACTTCTAGGTTAGTTATGCCATTAGGTTTCCTAAGACTAGTTATGCCATTAGGTTTCCTAAGATGAGGACAAATTAGATGCTTTTTTTAAGTGTGGACTTCACGAAGGCAGAGTGAAGAGGTTTGCAAATCTCTCCTTGAAAAACATCATGAAATGGGATAAAATTGTCAAAAATAACCATTTCAGGGCTTGACAAATCAACCCAAAGTAAATAAACTAAGAAGCATTTATTTATGAAAAACTCTGAACTTTGGTTAAAAAGAGCCCCCTACCCCCTTCCTTTAGCTTGGTTGGGACAGTAGGACTGCTAGCATGGAGCTGCTTATGAAAAGCAGCAGCTTGGCTGCCAGAGGGGGCTGACTTGCTTTGGAGAGCTAAATACCTGTGCCCAGTGGTGCTGCCACTAAAATTAGCAACCTCGTTCGGAAATGGGGAAGGAAAATCCAGCCCTACTATCCTGAAGTTATAGCTGTGTTTGGGGCAAGTGGCCAACCAGCTGATTAGCGAAATATTCAACTGTTTTTAGCCTGTGGGCCGTACTAAAACAGGCCAGCACAGCTTGTCAGCCTCTGCTCTAAACCATTAGGTTGTAGTAAGTTAAAATTTAGGAAAATAAGAACATAAAATTTTTATGTTTTTTTACCTTTTTAGCCTTTTTAATTTGAACTTTTATTTTTATTCGATTATTTTATTTCTTATGGTTTTAATTCTGTACTAAGAGTTTTTATATTAATTTTATATCACTTTTCACTGTTCAGTAAGTTCCGTAGTCAAGGCAGGTTAGAATTTCTCTTGTGCTTTCCTCTCTGGCCCTCACAAGAAAGAATTAAATGGACATGGACTTTCCTCATCAGTCATTTATTACAAGAATTATATTTACTGTTAACAGAAATCGTGAGTCATTCCAAATTAAATAGATTCTGATTATTTGTGGGAGTTATGTTCAGTAAAGTTGCCGAGAACGCTGTATTAGTGAATATTGAACCATTGCTCTGCGGGGAAATACAGGGTTAGGTTCCTGTGAGCCTCTGGTCGCAACATTTCGATCAACTGATCAATACATAACCTTGTTTGATGTGTGTTTCTATTTAAGGACACATTATTTAATATATATTGTTGATTAATTAACATTGAACTCACGGTCAATAGCACTGTAACTCATGCCTGAACGAAGCTTATCTAACACACGTATTTTTTTTGTAAGGCACATCCTAGCCTTCTTGCTTAGGAACAATAAATGGCACTTCAGCATTATGTTTGGAAGCCATTTAAACAGTGAAATCACCCGTAAAAAGCACGAAAATGCAAAAAACATGGCACACGTAGACCTTGAAAAGACCCCTCGTTTACAATGTGAGAGCAGAAACAAGAAGGCAGAGTGTCTCCTTGTTCAGCGCCAGCTGGGGACATGTGCGTGAACAACTCAAATGTTTCTTTGCTCTGCACGTGTCTGCAAATAATCGCAAAAGTACTACTGTGAGGACTGATTTGGGGTGCAAAGAAATTTTAGTGACTAGGCAAATTCGCAAATGTGGAATACATGAATAATGACCCTACTTTCAATATCAGTCAGACTTGCAATCTTTATTTTCATTTTATTAGAATTTTACAAGAGCACTGTTTATGGCCTAAATTTTTTATCACTAAACGTCTGTACCAAACTTATCAGTGTTTCTGAATTGAACGGTCGCGTATTTCCTTTTGACAGTTAATATTTATAGCCCAACCTACAAGTCATAGTTATTTATTTCTTACCATGTGTTTTTTCCTCCTTTAGGAAACGATGCCCCCACCAACACATACTGCATTTTCTGGCCACCATCTGCCATTTGTTGGTTTTACATATACTAGTAGCTGGTAAGTTTGAAAAGTTAACATAATTTGGACAATTTAAAGCAAATTAAAAAGAATTGAGGTTTTAGAATATGTAGTGTATAAGAGAGCCTTGTAAATCAAAAATTAAAAAAAAAAACAGGATGAATCTACTGCTGGAAAAAGTTAGACATTACAAAATGAATAGAACATATAAGAATCTTAACTCATTTTGGAGGAGAAAGAATAGGACAAATAGAGAGCTCAGAATCTGTTAGCATTGGGGCAAGTATTAGAAGAGTCCCATGCTGTTGAATAAGTATTCTCTAGGTGTCAAAGCATCGGAACTTTCAACTCATTAATCTTAAGCATCTTTTCACTGACCTTCATTCCACTTGTATTTTCTCTTTCCTCCTTACCCAGTTTAAATTCCATTGAGAATGATTATAATCACTCCTTGTGTGCCCCCTCAGTTCTTTGACTGTCTCTCATTCTAAGTCAACATTCATTATTACAATTCCATATTCTGTCTGTACTTGTGCCAGTCAAAGTGTCTAGAGGAAAATATCTGACCATTCTTACTGGTCTCACTTTAAGTTGAGGATTACGAACCTCAAGTGCCCCTTATTGCTGCCTGGCAAGTATACTGTATTACCCTAGTGTGTTCGTTCTTTTACTCTCCTAGATAACTACTTCATACCTTATACTTTCCTCTGAAACCTCTGTCATCCTCACTCTCACCTGATGATCTCGCTTCCTCTTTCACTGAGAGGTTAAGGAAATAGCAGACAACTTCCTCAAGCTCCCATCACCACAGCTACCACCCACCTACCTCTGGACCATATACTCTTCTGTTTATGGATGAACTGTGTGAGCTCCAAGCTAAGGCCCACCCCTTCTGTCCGCTCTTGCCTACTCTAGTGCGTTGCTCTCTATTACATCGTAAGTTTTTCCCTTTTTGTGTCATTTGCATAATCAGATCATTCCCATCAGCTCACAAACATGCAGTTTTTCCTCCCATCATAAGGTGAAGGGTAAAATCTCTCTTAATCCAACTTTCTTTACCTGCTACCAACCATTTCTCTGCTCCACGTTATAGCAAAATTACCTCAAACTGTTGTCTATATTTTGTCCATTTTTCTCATACTGTTCTCCCTTGACACCACTCCAGGCAGGTTTGTGCTCCCATCGCTTTGTGCAAACTGCTTTTGTTGATGTCACCGCTGAGCTCCATGTTGCTAAATTTAGTGATCATCTTTCAGGCCTAGTCTTGCTTATTTGCCTAGTCTCATCTTAGTTGTCACAGCTCCGTCTCGTTAAAACACTTTCTTCTCTTAGCTTCCAGGGCACTTGCCTCATTTCTTCTTACCTCTCTGGCCACTCGTTCTCAGTCTCCACATCAGATACCTCCTAATCTCACCGAGTCCCATGGCATAGTCCTTGCGTGTTTTCCATTTATGCTCTCCGGTGCTCTCCCAGATTTTGCTGATGACTCCTAAATGTGCATCTCCAGCTGAGACCTCTCTCCCCTCTTCTGCTTAAAATCTCTCTTAACCACCTACTTCAGATGTTCATGTCATTTCTTCTATTTCTCTGAACCTGTTTGAATGATCCTGCTAAAAGATAAGTCAGAACATGTCACTCCCCTCTTCAGGACCAATCCCCACCACCCGAGCTCCAGTGGCTTCGTATCTTAACTCCAAACCAAAGTTCTTATAACTTTATCAAGTTATGTATATATTTGTCTTATAGTTCTTACAACTATATCAAGTGATAGATATATTTGTCTTTCTGATTCTGTTTCCTACTGCTCTTTCCCTTGCTCACTCCACTCCAGGCACAGAGGTCTCCTTTCTGGCCCATGAACGTGCCAGACATACTCCTCTCTGAGGGCCTTTGCACTTCTGTTCCATCTGCCTGGAATGTTCTTCCCCCTGATATTCCCTTGGCTGGGCCCCTTACTCTCTGGACTTCATTCAGAGTTACTTTCTGAGTGATGACTTTCCTGACCACTTTGTCTAAATTTTTATTTCCTCCCCCTCAATAATTCATTTCCCCCTTTCCTGCTTCATGTTTTCTCCTTAGGATTGAACACTGTCTAATGTACTGAATGTTTTACTTATCTTGTTTATTTTTGTCTCTGTCACTGGAATATAAGCTCTACATGGGCAAGTTTTGTCACTTCTGCTCACTGCCGAAGGTCCAGCCCTTCAAATATTTTTAATTAAATTGTGTTGAATTAAAGAAAGCATTTCTCTTTTGAATTCCAAATTCTGGTAAAGAGACCGTGGTTGGTGCTCTTGACTACTGTTTCACTTACCTGGTCACATTGTTTTAAACTACCAATAACCCTTCAGCAAACTTCATTTTATAATTTGTGGTTATTTAAAATAAATTAAAGATAATTTGGGTGATTAAGTTTTCATTTTTAAAAGTGCTTCTAAAAAGTCATTTCTGGTGTTTTTGCAATACACATTTGCAAAAAAATGTGTATTACAGTCATTCTAGGTGGCTGACTGTAACTAGATACTCAAATCCGTGTTTTAAATGAACAATTTCGAAAGGTTATCTTTTTTCTTCAAACTTTTTGTTTCAGTGTAAATCCACTCTTTTTTTTTCTTTTCTTCAGTGTTCTTTCTGATCGGAGCTGTTTGAGAGTGACCGCTGGCCCCGCTTCACTGGATGTTGACGTTCACGTTCAGAGGACTCTAGACAACAATTTAGCAACCGAAGCTTATGAAAGAAGAATTAAGCGCCTCGAACAGGAGAAGCTTGAACTTAGTAGAAAACTTCAAGGTAAGTGTGTTTTAAAGAAGATATTTTCGGGCCGGCCCCGTGGCTTAGCGGTTGAGTGCACGCGCTCCGCTGCTGGCGGCCCGGGTTCGGATCCCCGGCGCCCACCGCTTCTCCGGCCATGCTGGGGCCGCGTCCCACATGCAGCGACTGGAAGGATGTGCAGCTATGACATACAACTATCTACTGGGGCTTTGGGGGGAAAATAAATAAATAAAATCTTTAAAGAAGATATTTTCCTTTTTGGATTGGACTCACAGTGTTAGGAACTGTTTATTATAAGTGATTGTTTTATCGCAAAAGGAAATTTTCTTTTTGTTAAGTGGGAAATATCAAGTTATAGAAATTGATGCAGAGTACGGTGTAATACCATTTATGTAAACTCATGAAATTAACAGTAAACAACAAAATAGCATCTGTTTCCCACGTATGTATGAACATAAATGTGTGGGAATAAATACCTCTGGGGAGAGGAAAATGGAACTACTAGGAAAAAAGGAACCCTTCTCATCCTAGTATAACACTTATATTCTGACATATCTCACTCAGCAAAATGTGTTCAAGGTCCATCCATGTTGCAAATAGGAGGATTTCTTCCTTTCTCATGGCTGAATTATATTTCACTGTGTGTGTGTGTGTGTACACCACATCTTTTTTATCCATTCACCCACTGATTTGCATTTAGGTTGTTTCCATATGTTGGCTATTGAGAATAATGCTACAGTAAACACGGGAGTGCAGATATCTCTTTGAAATCCTGTTTTCATTTCCTTTGGGTATATATCCAGAAGGGGAATTGCTGGATCATATGGTAGAGCTGTTTAAATTTTTTGAGGAACCTCCATATTGTTTTCCATAGTGGTTGGACCAGTTTACATTCCCACCAGCAGTGTGTAAGGACTCCCTTTTCACCACATCCTCACCAGTACCTGTTGTCTCTTGTCTTCCTGATGATAGACGTTCTGACAGGTGTGAGGTGATATCTCACCTCACCTTTTGATTTGCATTTCCTGATGATTAGTGTGGTTGACTGTCTTTTCATGTGCCTGTTGGCCATTGTGATGTCCTCTTTGGAAAAATATCTATTTAGTTCTTCTGCCCATTTTTTTAATCAAATTTTTTTTATTAAGTTGTATGAGTTCTTTATACATTTTGAATATTAGTCCCTTATCCAATATATGGTTTGCAAAAATTTTATCCCATTCTGTTGGTGGTCTTTTCATTTTGTTAATTGTTTCTTTTGATGTACAGAAGCTTTTGAGTTTGATGTAGTCCTCTTTGTTGATTTTTGCTTTTTTGTTGTTTGTGCTTTTGGTGTTATATCCAAAAAATCATTTCCAAAACCAATGTCAAGGAGCTTCTTCTCTATGTTTTCTTCTAGGAGTTTTATGGTATCAGGTCTTATGTTTAAGTCTTTGATCCATTTTGAGTTAATTTTTGTGAGATAGGGGTCCAATTTCATTGTTGTGTGTTTCTCTAATTTTCCCAGCACAATTTGTTGAGGAGACTGTCCTTTCCCCATTGGGTGTTCTTGGCTCCCTTGTTGAATATTAGTTAACCATATACCCTGGGATTTAATTCTGGGCTCTCTGTTCTGTTCCATTGGTCTATGTGTCTATTTCTATGCCAGTACCATGCTGTTTTTATTCCTACAGTTTGTAGTATAGTTTGACATCAGGAAGCATGATACCTCTGGCTTTGTTCTTTTTTCTCAGGATTGCTTTGGCTCAGGGTCTTTTGTGGTTCAACACCTATTTTAGGATTGTGTCTTCTATTTCTGTGAAGAATGCCTTTGGTATTTTGATAGATATTGTGTTGAATCTGTAGATAACTTTGGGGAGTATGGACATTTTAACAATAGTAATTCTTCTGATCCATGAATACAAGATGTCTTTCCATTTGTTTGTGTCTTCTTTGATTTCTTTCAGCAAAGTCTTATGGTTTTCATTGTACAGATCTTTCACTTCTTTGGTTAAATTTGTTCCTGATTATTTTATTGTTTTTGATACTGTTGTGAGTGGGATAGTTTCATTTATTTCTTTTTCAGATGTTTCATCATTAGCGTAAAAGAATGCAACTGATTTCTGTATGTTGACTTTGTATCCTTCAACTTTACTGAAATTGTTGATTAATTCCAACAGTTTTTTGGTTGACTCTTTGGGATTTTCAATATATAAAATCATATCATCAGCAAATAGTGACAGTTTTGCTTCTTTCTTTCTGATTTGGATGCCTTTTATTTCTTTGTCTTGCCTAATTGCTTTAGCTAGAACTTCCAGTACTATGTTGAATAAGAGTAATGAGAGTGGACATCCTTGTCTTCTTTCTGATCATTGAGGAAAAGCTTTCAGTTTTTCTCCCTTAAGGATAGTGTTAGCTGTGGGTTTGTCATATATGGCCTTTATTATGTTGAGGTATGTTCCTTCTATACCTAATCTGTTAAGGATTTTTATCATGAAAGGATGTTGTATTTTGTTAAATGCTTTTTCTGTGTCTATTGAGACGGTCATGTGATTTTTATCTTTCATTTTATTGATGTGATGTATTACATTTATTGATTTGTGTATGTTGAACCATCCTTGCATCCTAGAGATAAATCCCACTTGGTCATGGTGTATAATCCTTTTAATTTGTTCTTCAATTCGGTTTGCTAATATTTTGTTGAGGAATTTTTTGCATTTATATTCATCAGAGATATTGGTCTATAGTTTTCTTTTCTTATGATCTCCTTATCTGGTTTTAGTATGAAGATAATGCTGGCCTCATAGAATAAGTTTGGAAGTGTTCCCTCCTCCTAAATATTTTGGAAGAGTTTGAGGAGGATTGATGTTAATTCTTCTTTAAATGTTTGGCAGAATTCACCAGTGAAGCTCTCTGGTCCTGGGATTTTCTGTGTTGGGAGGTTTTTGATTACTGAGTCAATCTTTTTACTCGTTATTGGTCTGTTCAGATTTTCTATTTCTTCCTGATTCAGTCTTGGTAGATTGTGTGTTTCTAGAAATGTGTCCATTTCTTCTAGGTTATGTAATTTCTTGGCGTATAATTGTTCATAGTAGTCTCTTATGGTCCTATGTAGTTGTGTAGTATTAGTTGTAATCTCTCCTCTTTCATTTCTAATTTTATTTATTTGAATCTTCTCTCTTTATTTCTTAGTCTAGGTAAATGTTTGTCAATTTTCTTTATCTTTTCAAAGAACCAGCTCTTAGTTTCATTCATCCTTTCTGTTGTTTTTCTGGTCTCTATTTCATTTATTTCTGCTCTGATCTTTATTTCCTGCCTTCTGTTAACTTTGGGCTTAATTTGTTCTTTTTTTGGTAGTTCCTTGAGGTGTAAAGTTAGGTTGTTTATTTGAGATCTTTCTAATTTCTTAATATATGCATTTATTGCTATAAACTTTCCTCTCAGAAATGCTTTTGCTGCACTCCACAAATTTAATATATTGTATTTCCATTTTCATTTGTTCTGAGATAGTTTTTTATTTCTCTTGATTTCTTCTTTGACTCATTGGTTGTTCAAAAGTGTGTTGTTTAGTTTCCACATATTTGTAATCTCACTTTCCTCTTGTTGATTTGTAGTTACACACCATTATGGTCAGAAAAGATAGTTGGTATGATTTTAATCTTTTTCAGTTTGCTAAGATTTGTTTTGTGTCCTATCATGTGATCTATGCTGGAGAATGTTGCATATGCACTTGAGAAGAATGTATATTCTGCTGCTGTTGGATGGAATGTTCTGTATATGTCTATTAAGTCCATTTATTCTAAAGTATGGTTCAATTCCAATGTTTCTTTGTTGATTTTCTGTCTGGATGATTTATCTATTGCTGATAATGGGGTATTGAAGTCCCCTACTATCATTGTATGGTTGTCTATTTCTCCCTTAAGATCTTTTAGTATTTTGCTTAGTATATTTCAGTGCTCAGGTGTTGGGAGCATATATATTTACAATTGCTATATCTTCTTATTGTATTGACCCCTTTATCATTACATAATGACCTTTGTCTGTTGTTACCATTTTTGGCTTAAAGTATTTTGTCTGATATAAGTATGGCTCACCCACTTTGTTTTGGTTTCTGCTTGCTTGGAATATCATCTTCCATCCCTTCACTTTGAGCCTACATGTGTCTTTAGAGCTGAAATGAGTCTCCTGTAAGCAGCATATAGTTGGTCTTATTTTCTTATCTATCCAGCCACTGTGCCTTTTGATTGTTGAGCTCAATTCTTTTACGTTTAGGGTGATTATTAATATGAAAGAATTTACTACTGCCATTGTATCTTTGTGTTCTGGTCATTTTGTATCTCCATTGTTTCTTTTGCCTTCTGTTTTTGTTTACCTTTGTAAGTTGGTGGTTTTCTATGGTGATTTGCTCGTTCTCCCCCTTTTTTATGCTTTGTATCTATGCTCTAGATTTTTGCTTTGTGGTTACCATGAAGTTTTCATAAAACATCTCATAGATAAAATAGTCCTTTTTCTGATGATAGCAACTTACCTTCATTTGCCTAGAAAGGTTCCATCCTTTTACTCCTTGCCTTTTATATTTCTGATGTCACAAATTATCTCTTTTTATGCTGTGAATTCGTTACCAAATTGTAGAAGCTATAGTTATTTTAATGCTCTTTTCCCTTAACATTTACGCTATAATTAAGTGTTTAACACACTGTTCTAAAATAAAGTTGCAGTTTTCTAATTCTGACTGCCTATTTTATTACCTTAATCACAGTTTTGTGTACTTTCTTCTTTTCATTTCAGTTTGAAGAGCTCCTTTCAGCATTTCTTGTAAGGCAAGTCTGGTGGTGGAGAACTCCCTCAGCTTTTGTTTGTCTTGGAAAGCCTTTATTTCTTCTTCATATCTGAAGGATAACTTACACAGATAGAGTATTCTTGGCTGGCGGTTTTTATCTTTCAGTACTTTGAATATGTCATTTCATTCTCCTGGCCTGTAGAGTTTTTGCTGAGAAATCTGCTGTTAGCCTAATGGGGGTTCCTCTGTAGGTTACTTTCTT